GAACATCTAATTCCCCAGGATCTATTGGTGACCATCCCTAAGACCCAGAGGAGAGTGATTTAATTGCTGATCCCTACCGCAGCCCACCACTTGAGAAGACCTTTAGAGGCATCATCTTACTGCCCATTCCTGAGTGAAAGCTTATCCATTGCAAGCTGTATCCTTCCCAGGACAGAGGGGACCTCTGGTTTTGATTACTGCGCATCTAGTTAGTGCGCAATTTTATTATTTCCTGCACGACACCGAATTTACACCTAATTGGGAGTATCTGAGTCACCTTCCTAATTTTATCTTCTTAAAGAGCACAATAGAATTTTTATGCATAATTTTATATTAAATCCGGACTTTATAACTTGTGGTCTTATCGTACTTTTTTACGGTTGAGTCTCAGGAATTCATATATATACATTATACACACACACACACTCTTATTAGCGCTGCACTTTGTTTTAGAATGTGTTGATAAATGTTTATTGTTGGTACTGGTATGGTTTATTTACTAAACCCACAACAGTAAAATCAGCCTGTATATGCAGTAAAGCATGCTTGTTATCCTCTGCATTGTGTAAAAATCCTGTCTTCTCTAATACTCCCCTTCTTCCAGTGTCTCCCTCTTATCTCCTGATAATACATATCCTATGGAGACACTGCACATGCTCAAATTGGTGTGTATTGATACAGAGTTTTTTTTTTTCTTGGGAGAGTGCATGTAATCAGCACAGGGCCAATCAGCATTGTCTGGTCAGGGGTTCTGCATCCTCCTAGAGAAATCTCCTTCTACTAGCTTTAACCAGTGCTCTGCTGAACACTGATAGAAGTCACAAGATTGCTCTCGATGCTGATGAGAAAAGGTATTTAGCAGTTCATATTCACTAAAATAATTGCATTTTCATGTTCTGTGTACTGTTGGAGACCAGATATTTTGAATGCAGGGTCCTGGGTTTAGTGACACTTTAACTGACATTGCATGCAAATCAAAGGCCAATCTTTGCTATGCAGATGAATAGAAGCAGGGCAGCCATCAAAAATTTTGGGGCCAGTTACACAGCTTTAGGCCTGACCACCAACAATTCCCAGGGCCCGCCAACTGGCCATCCCACTGAATCTGTCCACTGGCCAACCCACTGAGTCCTTCAGTGCACTCACTTTTAAACACTTTTATAACTAAATATATGAAAATGAAAAAAAGCATATTCAAAGTCATCAGTGCTTGCATCCCCATATATTCAGCAAAGTGATGGCCCAATCCAGCAGAGATATCCCCATATATTCAGCAAAGAGACACCCCAATCCAGCAAAGAGACATCCTCATATAATCAGCAAATGACATCCTAGTCCAGCAAAGCGACATCCCCATATATTCAGCAAAGAGATGGTCCAATACAGCAAAGAAACAGCCTAATGCAGCAAACAGACATACCCATAATATATTAAAAGAGACATCCTCATATATTCAGCAGAGACATTCCAATCCAGAAAAGAGACATCCTCATATATTCAGCAAAGAGACATCCCATTCCAGAAAAGAGACATCCTCATATATTCAGCAAAGAGACATCCCATTCCAGAAAAGAGACATCCTCATATATTCAGCAAAGAGACATCCCATTCCAGAAAAGATACATCCTCATATATTCATCAAAAAGACATTCCAATCCAAAAAAAGAGACATCCTCATATATTCAGCAGAGACATCCCAATCTAGAAAAGAGACATCCTCATATATTCAAAGAGACATCCCAATCCTGCAAAGATACATCCTAATATATTCAGGAAAGAGACATCCCAATCTAGAAAAGAGATATCTCCATATATTCAAAGAGACATCCCAATCCTGAAAAGAGACATCCTCATATATTCAAAGAGACTGCCCAATCCAGCAAACAAACATCCCAATCCTGCAAATAAACATCCCCATATAGTCAAAGAGACATCCCAATCCAGCAAAGAGACATCCCCATATATTCAAAGAGACAGCCAAACCCAGCAAAGAGACATTCCCATATATTCAAAGAGACAGCATAATCCAGCAAAGAGACAGCCCAATCCAGCACAGAGACATCCACTTGAAAAAGGGGGATGGCTACTCTTAAGAGCTGTAATTCCAAAAACCCTTCCTCCAATTTGGATGTACATATCCTCAAATTAAACCGGAGTGTGCGCACTTTCAGTCCATATCCATTATATAACTATAGCTTGAATGTGTTTGGTAAATACCTGAAAAAACTAAAATTGTGCCTGTGTCCAAATATATATATAGACCGAACTGTATTTACGGTAAAGGAGGGGAGGGGGTGAGCGACCCACAGACTTCACACGGGTTGGAAAAAAACAATAGCGCAAAGTTTTCTAACCTACGCAATCAGTTTGTTTTGCAAGAGCAATGTTTCAGGACTGTTAGGCACTGCCCATAAACAATGGATCAATGTGATCCAGGGAGGCTGTCATCTCTTGTCTGAAGATGCCTGTGGGGCTTTGCCTGCAGATCTATCCACTGATCTGGTGGCTGACAGGACTGTCTCCGCGCTGCTTATGCAGAGTAGACACAGAGAAAGCCAGCTCTGCTCTATGGGTAGTCAGATGTAAATAGACCTCCAGTCCACTCCATTTACACCCAACTGCCATCTGATCCAATCTGCCCAGATGGAGGGAAATAGATTCCCATCCCTTTGGATTGGATGTAGGCAGGTAAAAACAGACAAGTCCATTTACACCTGCTACGCCATAGAGGTGAATGAAGGGTCTGAAAAATGGACCCGATTGGAACGTTCAAGCAAAAAGGGCCTTAAAGCGTCACTAAATAGAGAAGAAAAAAAGAAAAGAAAAAAAAAGTGTTGCCTTATGGATAGAGCAAGGGAGCATTATAACCAGTCAGTTTTATTTTGCCATCTGTGTCCTATTGCAGAAATTTACCTTCACTTTCTCTCCCATAGCCAATACAAGAAGTGAGAGGAAATCACTAGTGTCCACATTGGAAGATTCCCCTTCTATTCTTACTCTGGTGACAGCTGAACATTTGGAATGGTCTTTCTCTTTCATTCACAGTGATAATGGTCACCAGCACAAATAAAAGGAGTGAAGCTCTCCAATGAGGACAGCAAAACCAGAAACATGTTCTAATCCATCTTCATGCCATCCAAAACTAAAAATGTTTGCCTTTAGTTACACTTAAAGCAGGCCTAAAGTATTAAAGATTTTTACCTTAAAGTGATTATTTTATTAGAAAAATAAAGCTTTACAAACATGTTATACTTACCTGCGCTTTGCATTGGTTTTGGACAAAGCAGCCCTGATCTTCCTCTTCAGGGGTCCACTGACAGCTTTCCTGTCTCCTCTCCCTGCCAAGTGCCCCCATAGAAAGCTGCTTGCTGTTGCAGGATCTCTTCCCAATGCTTACCTGAACCTGATCCAGTACTGTGCCGGAAAGCAGCAGCTCTTTCCCTCCTCACTGGGCAGATTGATAGAAGTGGGAGCCATTCACTTTTTCAGCTCTCAAATTCTCTGTGGGGCTGAGCTGTGCTGCCTGTGTCTATAGACACAAGCAGTGCAACTCGGAAGCAAGCCTGCAGATGTGCCACAATAGGAAGCAGCTTCCTATGGTGACACACCAGGAAGAGGAGGAGCGCTGGTGGGGGAACCCAGAGGAGGAGTATCAGAACCGCTTTGTGCAATCCCATTGCAGAGAGCTGGTATGTATAAACCTGTTTGTTATTTAACCACCTACCGCCCGCCATATAGTAATATGACGGACGCAAGGTGGTTCTCTCGTTCTGAGAGGATGTCATATGACGTACTCCGATTCTCACCACGCATGCGCGGCTATCGGCAGTGCGCTATGTCCTTCGGACACAGCGGATCACCGATCACGGAAAGAGCCGAAGATGTCGGCTCGGTCATGTGATCAGCTGTGTCCAATCACAGCTGATCACATGTAAATAGGGAAATGCCAGTTATTGGCATTTCTCTCCTCACGAGCTTTCACGCTGACTGCTCGAGAGGAGAGGAGAGCCGGTAATCGGCATTCCTCAGAGGGGACATGTGCACTGATGATCAGTGTAGCCCCAGCAGCGCCAGCTGTCAGTGTCCATCAGTGCCTTGTGTCAGTGCTCATCAGCGCCTCGTGCCAGTGCCCATCTGAGCTGCCTTTCAGTGGCACCCATCAGTGAAAGTCAGTGCCGCCTAACAGTGCCAGTCAGTGCCACCTAACAGTGCCATGTATCAGTGCTGCCTTTCAATACCCATCAGTGATGCCTGTCAATGCCCATCAGTGCCGCCTACCAGTGCCACCTATCAGTGTCCATCAGTGCAGCCTCATTAGCGCATATCAGTAAAGGAGAAAAATAATTTATTTACAAAATTTTATAACAAAAACTAAGAAAAAAATTTTTTTTTCAAAATTTTCAGTGGTTTTTGGCTTAAGAAAAAAATAAAAAACCCAGAGATTAAATACAACCAAAATAAAGCTCTGTCACAAAAAAATATAAAAATTTCGTATGGGTACAGTGTTGCATGACCGCACAATTGTCATTCAAAGTGCGACAGCGCTGTAAGCTAGAAATTGGCCTGGACAGGAAGGGGGTATATGTACCCTGTAGGCGAGGGGTTAAAGAAGTACAGCCAAAGAGCTTGCTTGGCTGTACTTCTGTGGATCACAGGAGTGCAGTTTGTTAAGCAACCTTAAGCTTGCTTTGGGCACAAGGTCCTTCAGACAGCTTTTTGCTGCAGGCAGCCCTCAGCTTGTATGGTTATGTGGGCCTGTTAGTATTTTGTTACAGTTGCCCGCCCTTCAGTTGGACTACCTTTGGGGGCATCCCAATAGTCTCAGAATCCTGTGTCCTTTAATGAAGGAAAGAAGATTGGATTTTTGTACATACTGTAAAATCTGTTTATTTTCCCCAATGAGACACAAATGGCTAACAAATCCCACCAGGGTCACTCCCTACTTTTTTGTTTTTTAGATGTATATAAATTATATATATTACAGGTTCCTTAAAGAGTTACTAAACCCACAACAGTAAAATCAGTCTGTATATGCAGTAAAGCATGCTTTGTATAGGCACTGTGGAACCTAAGGGGTTAATCCTCTGCATTGTGTAAAAAGGCTGCTTGATCCTGACTTCTCTGATCCTCCCCTTCTTCCAGTGTCTCCCTCTTATCTCCTGATAAGACATATTGTGTGGAATCACTCGGCACATGCTCAGTTTGGTGTGTATTGCTAAAGAGTTTTTTTTTTCCTCTTGGGAGTACATGTGATCAGCACAGGGCCAATCAGCACTGTCCAGACAGAGGTCAGGGGTACTGCATCCTCCTAGAGCAGAATGAAAACTCCTCCTACAAGCTTTAACCAGTGCTCTGCTGGACACTGATAGACGTCACAAGACTGCTCTAACTGCTGATGAGAAAAGGTATTTAGCAGTTTATATTTACTAAAATTGCATTTCCATGTTCTGTGTACTGTGGAAGACCAGATATAGTGAATGCAGGGTCCTGGGTTTAGCAACACTTTAAAGCGGAGTTCCAGCTGAAAAAAAAAAAAAATAAAAGTCAGCAGCTACAAAAACTGTAGCTGCTGACTTTTAAAATTCAGACATTTACCTGTCCCTCGGTATAGTGGTGCCCTCCCCACAGCTGGTTTCACCGGCAGTCTTCTCTCCCCGGCATCTTCAGTGTGGGCACCCGGTTGTGACAGCTTGCGGCTTCACAGCTGGGTGCTTACTGCATATGCGCGAGAAGCGCTGCACTTTGTGAATGGCCCCGTAGTCTTCTGGGACCTGTCATGTGTCCTAGAGGACTATGGGGAGGGAGGGTAGGAGGACAACTTCCGATCGTTTAGGTGATCGCAGTGGAAACTTGTACCTGTCAAATTCAGGGACCCACTCACCCCTGGCTTCCCATAGGTGGCAATCCTTAATTGGCGCCGGTGCCTCCCAGCCTTTTAAGGGTTTCAGAAGCCGGGAGGCAGGGTTTTAGGGTCATGTGACAGCCGTGATTCGCCGTCACATGATCGGGAAAGATCCTGATCGAAAGAGGAGAGTACCGGACAGGGCGCGCGCTCTCAGCACAAATGTTTGTTTTTCTTAATTGCACGCAAATGTGCAGTCGCTCGGCATCAAGGCCCAGACGCCTGGAGGCTACACATTTGCATGCGGCTGGCGTCAAGAGGTTTAAAGCAGAACTTCCCCTTTTGGGTGGAGCTCCGCTTTAAGGTTTCCAGAAACTGAAAATTTCATTGGCTACTAAGAGCCACGTCTCACCTTTGTATGGTATTAGCTTCTATGGAGAATGCCTTGGCACAGGTCACATGACTGGCTATCAGAGAGAGCCTGGATTTTCAGAATTACATCTTCAGTGGGTTCATATGCAGCTTTCCCTAATGTTGGTGAATGTTAAAATACAATTGAGTTCAGTTTTCAATACAGTTGTGTTAATCTTAACCCCGGGTTCACACCCAAGCATTTTCTGCAGCATTTTGCAGAAACGCAGTACAGTCCATTTAACATGATTTTCCTATGGGACATGTTCACCCAGTGCAGTTTTTGGAAAGGGTCAGGAACTTTTTTGAATGCAACAAGGTCCGTTTTTGGTTCAATAGACTTCAATGGAAACGCTACATAGAAGCACGTACTGCGTTTTAAGTCGCCCTAGCAACAACAAAAAAAACGCAAGTGCAGAACCGGCTCAAACGCAACCTGCATAGGTGTGAACAGAGCCTTATACAGCACATAGACCTGGCCGGATTTATAAAAGACACCCACGGGTCACTCAGGGGGTTTAATTACTAAAACTGGACAGTGCAGAATCTGGAGCAGCTCCGCATAGAAACCAATCAGCTTCCAGTTTATATTGCCAAAGCTTCACTGAACCAGCTGAAGGTAGAAGCTGATTGGCTACCATGCACAGCAGCTCCAGTATTGGTGAATCTCCCCCTCAGAGGCCAGCACAAGCCATGGTCCTGTGCTCTGCAGTGATTGTATAGGTGAAGCTCTGACCATTCCACAGTCCCCTCCTCACTGCTCGGCAGAATCCACAGCCTTCTCAGCCCCCTGCCATGCCCCTTCCACACCCACAAACCTGTGCAGCCATCCCGTATCAGTGACCCATGCTGCTTCAGCTCTACTCGTTGCCACCAGCACGTCACGTGATCCAAACTTTCAATAACTTTATTCACATCGGCCAATGCCATGAATAGCTCCAGATTACATATGGCGATGTCGTCTTTTCATGAATAGGACTACACGCTTCCGGCCTAATGCCGTCTTTTCCTCTGCCATTCACAAACGACTGTTCGGCGGCCTTTTTTTAATTGTAGAACAGAGTCTGCTAGGAAGGAGAGGAAAGGGGTAATAGGAACCAACTCTTTTTGTTACAACCGCCAACGATTGTTAGAAACTAAATAACATCGGAAGCGGCGCATAAAGGAGAGCCGCATATATAGGCTTAGAGAAGGATACCACACAAAGCCAGCAGCCAATCACAGAGCACGGCATCATCGCCTATTCTCCGACAAGCAATGAGAAAAAAGGCGGGAGCCGGTCACCTGACTTAAACTAACCAATGAACACACCGTCCCCTCCCGACCAATCTATGTTTTAGATTTGAACAGGCGGTCTTCTCTCTGGCCAATCAGCAAAAATGTCGTCAGGGGGAGTGTCCTGCCGCTCGGCGGGTGTCTATTGTTTCTGTGGGTATGAATTATTGCCACCATTACGGAACGTTACCGATACCATTCGGGGTTCACTTCCAGCCTGGTTTTGAGCAAGGGGGGCGCTGCAGGGGGACCTCGCCACAAGAGGCCTAGCGCCGTTTTCCATCAGTTCGAGGCATTGCGGTCCGCTTCCGCCCCTACTAACCCCCCTTTTCCAGCTGAACTTCCGGGGCGGTTCCCTCGTCCACTTCCGGTGCGCTCAGACGAACATCCGCCCTGTGTCTTTATCTGTAATCAGCGGCAACATGAGCGGCCTAGACCCGCGGAAGATGAAAGTAACCGAACTGCGAGCTGAACTGCAGCGCCGGGGACTGGACTGCCGGGGCCTGAAGGCCGAGCTCAGCGACAGGCTGCAGGAGGCGCTCGACTCCGAGCTGCTTGGCGGGGGCGACGAGGAGAAGGCGGCGACCGCCAACCCGGGATTAGCAGAGGAGGAGGAGGAGCGGGCCTTGGAGCTCGGGGAGGGAGAAGACGAGGACGACCAGGCCGGGGAGCCGGTAGAGGAGGAAGAGGACGAGGAGGCCGCACACGACGAGCAGGATCTCCCGGGGGAGTCGGGCTGTGCCCCCACCGAAGAGGAGGAGGAGGAAGAAGAAGATATGGAGGAGGCGGCCGAGGCTGGGGGGTCGGTGAATGGCGCCGCACACAAGGAATCGGCGGAGGCCAAGGACGGAGAGAAGGCCGGGGCTGGCGGTGAGTATACCGGAGGAAGGGGGAGGGGCGGTCCATTGTGCGGGGGGGGGGCCGCGCCGTGTGCTCCGTACACAATGGAGGCCGCCATTTTGTCTCCATACAAACAGTCCGCCTATGGGAAGGATGGGGATGGGAGATGGGAGCATCAACAAGGAGCCGACATGGCACCGGCCTACACCGTCTCCCATCCATGGCGCATATGGCCGGGGGAGGGCCCGTCGCCATTGTTTATGGGGGGATGGGAGGTTTTGGGAATTAGCCAATCAGGGCGGCCTCTGAATTTTTTTTTTTTTTTTTGGATCGTTCTGATTTCTTTGTCTGATCGTACATCATAGCGATCAGGATCTTATTGTATGTAAGGAGGGGATGGGGGGGGGGGGAATCTTCATGTTCAGAAAGATTTAAAAAGCCATCAGAGATCTAGGAGTAGGAGGTGCAGGCCTAGGCCATCTCATGATGGTGATGATTCACAGATCAGACTGTAGTCATGGAACCACCACCCCCACTCCCCCAGCTGTTTAGAGGAGTAGAAACATATGGGGGGTGATTTATGAAAACCAGATAGCGAAATCTGGTGCAGCTCTGCATAGAAACCAATCAGATTCCAGGTTTTAATTGAATATGATGAAGAAGTTAGATGCTGATTGGCTGCCATTCACAGAACCAGCATTAATCAGAAGTAGATGTCACCAGTACACCATGGTTCTCCAGAGTGGCTCCAAAGCCTTACTCGGCTGTCGCATCATTATAGCAGAAGCAACATTTCGGAGCCTCGCAGGTCACATTCCTGATTAAAGGGTCCTGCGAGGCTAAGAAACGCTGCTTCTGCTGTAATGTGATTGCTGAATAAAGTTTTGGACCCGCTCTGGAGAACCGTGGGGTGCTGATGACATTTTCTCATTCCGTTGTCGTGCAGCAGCTGCTATGAGGGAACACACTACTGTGAATGATGGCTAAATGACAACAGAATTCGGTAGATGCAAAAAAATCTCCACCTGAGAAATGTCTCACTTAAAGCGGAACTAAACCCTCCTATCCTTTTCAGCCACGGAAGCTGCCTTCTTGGCCTCTGTTTGATCTCCAACTGCCATGGTGCTGCACATCTGATCAGTTATGACATTTGATGGTTTGACAGTTTAGTTGTGAACAATCGGAAGTGACAACATTCTTGGAATGCCAAGAATATCAAGAATATAACTTTTTTTTTTTTTTTTTAAAAACTGTTGGGTTTGGTTCCTCATTAATCTGGATATATGCTAGTAGAATTTCAAATGAAACTTTTTAGAATATTTTTAAATGCTGTTCAAAAGTAGTTAAAGATTTTGTTTGTTTTTAACAGTTGATTTAGGAATGAATGGACTTTACTGCATGAAAACCTTTATTCAAGAAATTTAGCATCCTGCTCCTTCCAATTTTCTCATTGCTGTGGGCAAAAACTAATGGTGATTTGACTACACCAATGATTAGATAGACAAACAAATCTTCGTGAAATGCCAAACAAAATTCTGCTAGTGTATACTCCGCTTGATGTTTTGCAGTTTGTAATAGCAAATCTTGTTTTTTTTTTTTTTTTTTTTGTATAGACCAGGAAAGGGTTAAATACACTTTTTGTGCTCTGTTTCTTTAGGGAGATTTCACTTCCTTTGCTGTAAATTCCTAATAAGATAGAAATCCCCATTTAGACAGTTGTCACAGGAACAAGTGATCCCATTACAAGATTTTCCTTCACTTTCATTCTGCTATATTGGTGATCAGGGCTGTTAGTGAGGGGGGATCCTCCTAACATGGACATAGACAGCAATAAAAACGTGGCCAGGGTTCTAACCCCTTACTACTCTAGCCGAATAAAAAAAAAAGTGATATGTTTTTGAGGTGTGAAAATCCTTCGTACTTTGACCTGATCTCTAATATCGTCACCAGGCCATGTTCCTGATGCGCTAAAGTACAAAACATTCCTATACTCTACACATGTGGGTCTTTATACAGGCACAGGTCACTTTATTTAAAAAAAAAAAATACATCTTCATTTATTCCCACAAAAATATGCATTTTATAAATTTTTCCATTGAAGCCTATAGAGCATTACTCATGATCAGTACATCATGAAACACCATAGAGGAGTGTGCACAATTTGCGGTTATGTACCTAGATGACAGGTCTGTGACAGGTAAACCAGCTAGTTATTTTGTATTGTGTGCAATACAATTTATTTGTATGTTGGGCAAAAAGCTTTTCTAATATTGGGTTGATGGTAAGATTACAACTTCAGTAAGATTATTGCTGCTGTCCAGGATACCGTTAGATGTTTACAATCTTTCTGTCCTAAGAATTGTTTTACCAGACTAGATGCAAGGGAGAAATCTAATGCAAATACAGAAAGAAGATATGTCCGGGATTCTAGCCTTTGCCTTTTTTTTTTTCTCTTGCTGTTGGAGAGATCACCCCTCACCCCCACTTTCTGTATGGTAAAAAAAAGTCAGGACAGGAATTGAGGGGAAATTTCTAGGCTCAAGATAGAAGTGGTTATAACTTTTCTATACAGTATCCAAAATGAAGGAGAACAAAGTGTTTTTTTTTTTTTTTTTTGGCTGGGGTGTGCCCTTTAGGAATGTGGTACTTTCTATGTAGACTCCCATTGCTGACTAAAAATGTTTATTGGCTGGCTGTCTCCGGGTTTAATACACACAGACCCCAAACAAGCATGTAGCCAGTGAAGGTATAATACCTGTAGCAGGTCAGTGATTTAGAATGTTTGGAAGCCTTTTGATGGACAGAAGATGAGAAGCTAGTAATTTCCAGATGGCGAGGTTGGCAATCACAGCCTGCTTATTAAACGTTCTGAATATCGAAGTTTGTTCTGAATGGATAATCTTTCCTTTGAAAATTATATATTTGCCACCGATGTAAGTTAATCTGTCTGTAGATCATGCTAGGGCATGGAAGGTAAAGGGTAAGAGGTCACCTATTGTCTGACAGATGCTACTCTGCCAGCCGCCAGACCCAACGCTGTTAACATATGTCGTCTCCTGAATGTACAGAACTGTAAGACATAAGGGGGCTTTGCAGTTAAAAGGTAAATGTAAATGACTAGAGGCCTCTTTTGATACTGTTAGTTATGGAGGGGCTATATATATTATATACATTTTTGGAGTTTTTTTTTCTTTTTTGGAAAGTTTAATTTAAAGAGAACCTGTTAGGATTAGATAATGGAAGCCACCATTGCAGACTTGTTTGAGTGTATGTGCAGTTGGGCTATCTTTTTTTTCTCTCGGTTTGGTTCAACGATCCTTGCGTATACAGATATACAAAATATAAAATCAACATTTTACATATTGATAAATTGTGTTAAGGTGACCTTTTAGTATATATGCAGAAGAAAATAATTTGTAGTTTAGGCAGTAAAAAAATCGCATCACTTTTTTTTTTTTTTTTTTCTTTGGAAAGCAAGTTCTCGTTATAAATACTTTACCCTTCTTGATTTTGCAGCTGAAGCTGATAAAAAGAAGTCTGATTCAAAAAATGCAGGAGCTGGACGCAAAGGGGTTAAGAGAGTACGGGAGGAAGAACAACGTGGACGCACATATCATGAATACAAAGAGGAGGGTTATTATAGCCGGTAAGGTTTTCTGGGCTTGCTGAGGTTTTTTTTTAACTTTATCTACCAACATGGACTTTCCCTTTAAGGAATTTTTTTTTCTTTTTTTGCATCCCCTTCAGATCTATGGGGGCAGTTTCTTGCAGACCTCTTGATATCAACCAAATGTGTGTTTTTTTTATTTTCAAAAATCCTGTCCAAGAGCAGGCAAAGCCTTCCCTGTAAACATCTCCAGTGTGTTTCTGACATGTGTGCAATGTTTCCTAGGGGCTTTGTTCTGAAATCAGCCCCTATTGCTCTTGCTTTCTCCAATAAGAGCATTTAAAGATGTCCTGGAATCAGGAGCAGCAATTGTAGTGCACAACCTTTTGTGTAGATTTGCAAAATAGGAGTAGAAATGTACACCCCTTGAGGGTTAGGGACTGATGTGAATGTACAATATATATGTAAAGCGCTGCGTAAATTGACAGCGCTATATAAGTACCTGAAATAAATGATCAGCTGTTGCAGCACTCATTTACATACGATATATCACTACTATAAACAAGGCTAGCAAACACACTTTAATTAAAAAAAAAAAAAAAAAAAAAAACTACCTGTTTCCATGGCATTGTACCAGGGATGCCTCTTTTTTATTGTCATTTTAAATATCTGATTTAAGTTTTGTTCTTGTCACTTGATGCCATCATTCTTGAATTTCGTTGTTTCATATGCCAGGCCTCTGTGGAGGCCAAATACTATGTAATTAGGAAACATGGACTAGGATGAGGAAACATACATTTAAAACCATACAGATGCAGTAATATTGCTGAAATGTCTATTCTGGTAAAATGCACCTGGGCTAGTGAAGGAGATTAACTTTATTCTTTTACTTTTCTAGTTCCAAGTCTCCTGCACCTACTGTAGAGGCATGCGATGAAGTGGAAGACAGTGTGCTGTGTCTTGATATTTGTAAGTCATTGCATCTATTCTCCTACTCTCAGGTGTCCATGCTCTTTACCTCAATTAGATTTCCTTTATTTTTAATGTATTTGAGAGATTTTTTTTTTTTTTTTGCTTCCTTTTTTGAAAGCTAAAAATATTTGCACAATTTTGGATGTAATTATCGCATGTGTGTAAAATTTCTTTAATACGAAATGGGCATTTTAACAATGGGAGCTTTTTTATGTGAATAACATTTCTACATTTTCCATATTAAAACCGTTCCTTGTTCTGTTTTTATCAATAAATAGTTAAACCCAGGAACAAACATTTAGTAATATTGCAGGTTATGCTTACAGTTAAGTTCGACATACCTAGTGCAGCTTTCCTGTCCTCAGATGCGGTGACTGCAGCCACTCAAGGTCAGGAGGAAGCTAATTTAGTTGGGGAGGGGACTGAATGATAAAACTAAAGCGGACACCTCTAAGGACTGTGAAGGTGCAATATATGCAGACATTTGGGGAAGGGGTTTAGAAAAAAAAAAAACCATGGTGGCATGCTTCTAAGTTTATAAGTGTTCATGTTTAAATGTGAATTTTGCCTAGATACTTGTTCATGCTCTCTATTCTTTGTTGCTTGTTCATGTAAGGTTTTTTTTTTTCTTTTCTGATGCTCATGTATTCTTACAGCCAACTGTGATCTGCAATTTAAGATGGATAAGGACCGCTTTGGAGGAAGACCTCTGTTTTCTGAGAAGTTCCCATCTTTGTGGTCAGGATCTCGAGCCACTCATGGGGTAACTGATGGCACAGTTTACTATGAAGTCAAGGTGCGTTTTCAGGCAAATTCCCATGCACAATTTTTGTTTGTTTTTTCCTCCCTTGTATAGCAGATGGGACATAATGGTATTTGTGTGACTTTTGAAATACGGTGATGCTTTGAATAGCACCTTTTTTTTTGAAGTCTTGTTTTAGACCATGGCAACAAAGGACTGGTAAGGGCCTACATAGTCAGTCATAGCCTTGCCATTTCTTTTACTATTAACTTGTCTTCAGCAGTAATATGGAGCAAGGCACTTGGCTAAATAATACTTAGTAACTTATTTTAGCTATGATAGGTCTTATTAAAGTTGAGCTCAAGTCGGGTATAAACTGAAATTGACAAGTGTCCTCTGTATTATTGCAGCTTGTTTTGTTTCTGAGGGTGTAATACGGAGGAGAACTTGCCATATTAGCTGTTGTGGCAGGCAGCGCTCTTTTAGTATGTCTGTCTGTCTTCATTCTGTTTGTGCTCTTGACAGCACTTACTGCATGTCTTGTTTTCTTAAGAGCTTGATTACAAATGCTGTAAAGTACACACTCATTTGGTTTTCTTTATTCCGTCCAATGTGTGTAGGTGACTGAGAATCTTCCTGTGAAAGAAGGCTGTACGGAGGTTCCTCTGCTCCGTGTGGGCTGGTCTGTATACCAGTCAGCTCCTCAGCTGGGTAATAATCTCTTCCATATGAATTTATTAAAACTGTCCATTTCTTGTGTAGCTGTAGTATTTTTTTTTTTTTTGTTGAACTCTTCCCTCTGTCATGGTTTTGATTATCAGGTGAAGATGACTTATCCTTTGCTTACGATAGCCGGGGATTGAAGGTCACCAGTGCACATTTTGATCCTTATGGGGAATCTTTTGGTGAAAATGACGTGGTTGGCTGCCTTGCTGTAAGTTTTGGCTTTTTATATTTTGCTTAGAGCTGTTAGACTGTTGTATGTTAGTGGTCTTCCTCTTTTTCCTTGGGTCTTCCAGCTTCTGGAACCCACCTTTTCTGATCTAGATATACACGCACGCCTGTAAATATTCAAGACTAGATTCTCTTATTCTGCACTAATTTGCAAAGCAGATCCTCTCTCCAAAGTTTGGTATTCTTGGTGCTGTGAAAACAGTTCAGGTGGTTTGAGCAGTGAAGCCTCTGCTAATTGGTAGCAAGTCTAATTTTTTTTTTTTTATATATATATCAAAGTGACGCCCAACCAAAACGTAATGTCTTAACAGAATGTTCATTTTAGTGAGCCTTAAATTGCTTACATAGTTTATTCCCATTCCCCAGTGACATTTTTTTTCTTTTAACTCTGCTAATGTAAAATCCCATGTTTAATAGGATGCATAGATGGTCAAAGGAAACTGAAATGTGTTTGGGTCAACCTTTTTAGCTATTTAATTTTTTTTTTTATAAAGCAGATGTGTATCTTTATCTTACTAATAAGTAATACATGATGAATGATTGGCAAAGCACTGTGGGGGAACTTAAGAGACCACTTAGCAGAACAGCTTGCTTTGCAACAAAAAGCCTTGTAATCAGCATCATAGGGATGAGTTGCTGAACTGAATTAATTTGAGTGCTGTTAAACTACAAGGAAAGCCTATACAATAACTCACGTTAAATGTTTGTATCCCCATTGCTCTATTACTTCCCATACATTTGCTAATAGGTTGCCATCTAAATACTAGTATTTCTGTGCATTCATATGACAAACGCTTTGGTTAGTCTGTGTCTTGTTGAAGGCTGACAATGCTACTAAATTCTTAACCCCCTATTCCACATCTGCTAATTGCATATAGCAGTGACATCCTGCTGGCATCCATAGCTCTAAAGGGGCTGGCCAGGAGAGTGTTTGCACCTACCAGCTTTAGAGGGAAAAAGCTGAAGCTTTGTAGCTATCTGAATGCATAGAAAAAGGTAGAACTATGTGGATCCAACATTTTAAAAGGGGGGTTTGTAGCTGGCATTCTTTAGCAATGAACACTTTTTTTTCCCCCTCTCTTCTAAACATAGGGATGTATGCAAAATCTTTTATCTATGGGTAGTAGTCCCTTCCTTTTTCTCCTAGCACATTTTTTGTCTTTATGTGTAAGCTGCTTGTGGAACATCCAGTCTACTCACAGAATAGAGCTTGGTTCTGCGACTCTAGCTTGTTTGTGTATGAGTTGCTGTGGCAATGGCCAAAGGGGGAAGACCCCCAACTTAGAAGAACGTGTCAAGTGTTTGTCTTAAATGTTTTTATTGCAGAGCATATTATATATGTCGTTTTTTATTTTTCATTCTTTTAAGTTGTTATCTTTCTTGCTTTATAGAACCTTGATGGTGACTCGGTGGAGATATCTTTCTCTAAAAATGGCGCCGAATTTGGCCAGGCATTTGTAGTAGATAAGAATACATTAGGAGAGCAGGCATTGATGCCCCATATTTTGTGCAAGGGCTGCGCTTTCCAGGTGAACTTTGGTCAGAGGGAGGAGCCCTGGCATAGTCCACCTGATGACTTTACATTCCTAAAAGAGTTTACAGATGAGGATCTTACAAGAGCACCATCGCCACCAAAAACCAATGAGGAGTGTGAGGTAAGCTGCCTGTTTTTAGTACCAATCTTCTATTTGTAGGGGACAGGTTTGTTTGGGCTCATTTGAAGTGATATGCAATGTATAATGGTGTACATGAATTGGGTAGCATCTCCTGATCTCCATAACAATGTAACATAACTGTGCAGAACAGGAAGTTATCTGCAACCTAGAATTCTGGAACAGGTGTGGGGTTTTTTTTGTTTTTTTGTGGGGGGTGCACTTGTTTAACCTCACTGTAGGGCTGCAAAGTCCTGGTCCATATAAGTCTAATATTTTAATGATGAATGTAAATACGTTCTTTTATTTTACATTCAGGTGTTGCTTATGGTTGGTCTCCCAGGAACTGGAAAAAGCACATGGGCTCAAAAACACATCGAGGAAAATCCAGAGAAACAATTCCAGCATCTTTGTACAGATGCTCTTCTGCCACAACTGAAGGTGAGCACCGTGCAAGAAGAAAATCTGACTTAAGTGTAGCATAATTCTGACATTCAGCAAAAATGGCCGATATGCTGTTTAATATTTCCTGTGTTTTCACAATTGGGTTTTTAGTATCAATACCATGAGTATTTGGCATCCAAATGCAGTTTTTGTAGATGTTTTTCTAGAAATATTACTGCTGCTGAAGAAATAAGGTTGAGTATTTGTAGAACATGTGCCTATACAGATTGCTCTGCATCTGCAAATGTCTTTTTGAACTTTGCTTTTTTTTTTACCAAATGGTCTTCTTGCTTGCTAATCCCAACAGGTTACTGGGGTATATTCTGGCCAGTCGTATTGATGACACTACGCATAAACATACTATTTTAAACTTGTTCTTTATGTCAGCTTAGTGCTTTTTGGCAGTTTACTAAGCCAAATAAAGAGCACAATACTTTTGCAGTTGCACATGCTGGTGCCTTGTAATACACTTTGTATTGAGTGAATTATTGGGGCTCTGTAGCTCAATGTTCTCATGTGACTGGATGTTTTTTGCCAACTTTTGCCTGTCTTTATATCTATGCAGACAGCTGGACCAGATGCCCCTGAAGAAGATGAGAAAGCAAAGGATCATCTTGTCCAGGTAGCAACTCAGTGTTTGATCAGGCTGGTGCCACTGGCTGCCCGCAGGAAGAGAAATTACATAATTGATCAGGTAAGAGTGACATGCTTGCTGGTACAATTGGTCTACTTGACAGATTTTTTTTTTTTAATTTTTTTTAAATTTTTTCTTTTCTGTGGTATTCACAGTGCACAGTGTACAGCTCTGCACAGCGCAGGAAAATGCATTGTTTCAAAGGATTTCAACGCAAAGCTGTGGTACTCGTCCTCAGTGATGAGGAGTGGAAGAAAAGGTTGGAAATGCGCAAAGAGAAGGAAGGGGAGATTGTTCCTGAATATGTACTCTTGGAAATGAGAGGTTTTTAATCTTTCTTATCTCAACAGTACTTTAGTCCACTCTCTCCATTTCCACCCTAATTATGTCTTGTCTTATTCAGCCAACTTCGTTCTTCCTGCAAAGGGTGACTTTCTAGAAGATGTTCTGTATGCTGAGCTGGGCCAGGAAGAGGCAGATGCTCTGGTACAGAAAGAGAAGAAGGAGGCACGGAAGCAGCTGCCCACCAATGAGAAGAGACGACACCGTATGCAAAAGCGTGCACGCTCAGACAGGGGCCGCGGAGGTAACCGTAAGCAAAACAAGATTTATATCTTTCCACACATTAGATCGTTAATTTTGAGCTTTCAGAACTATGCATGACAATTGGGAAGAAAAAACAAATCTGCAATGACTTTACAGCTTCTTGCATGAGCTTGGGCTATATCAGCTTAGTGAAAGGGTATTTCTTTTGCTAATTTTAATACCCATAGAATTATAGCTTGGCATTTTGTCTCAAGAATGGAGTTGCCATGATGCTGCATATATTGTATTATGCCAGCATGCTCCTCACAGCCTTCTGCTAGGCTGTATTGAAATGGTCCACTTTCCCAAAGAGGTGTCAATCCTATGATCTTGTAAGTCTTAATGGTTTTTTTTTTTTTTTTGGTTTTTTTTTTTTCCCTCAGGTAACTACCAACATCAGAGGAGCTTCAATAGCCGTATGTACTTGCAGCACTCAAGGCCACAGCCCTATCATCAGCAGCCACGTCAGTACTGGGGAGGAACCCACAGAGGGGTGTGTAACTGGATTTTAATTTTTAGTAATTTTATCTAAGTATTGGGTCAGTTGCACATAGTGGACTTAAATGCTTATAGAAGGAAGGTCTGATTGCAAATGTGGAAATGGTGACCTAACCATGCGTCTTACTAAATTGATCTGATTTTGCAATATAGGGTTACCAGGATTTCTATGATCGTTATTCTGAGCCACAAAGATACTATGGACAACCAAACTTCAGGCAGCAAAATAGAGGAGTAAGTATTGTTTTGAACTTAACTTGAAGTTTTTTGGAGATTTATTTTCTGGAATTGTAAAAAAAAAAAAAAAAAAAAAAAACTATGAAAAATTTTGTTCACCACTGCATGAATCCTAATGCTATGGCAGCTGTAGGTCTTTTTGCATTATAGATAGAAGTGTTGGTGTTTTTTGTTTTTCTTTTGGCCAATATCTAGTGCCTATTGTATCTGTTATGTTTCTAGTGGTAGGTTGGAAAAAGAAAATGGTTATCAGGCCAGCTAAGCTTCACTTATGGTCTTCTTGGATGGCTTCAATGTGTTTAGGTGTGCTGGGAGATTTCCTCTAGCTTCTTTCTAGCATAGCTGGAAAAGGTTCAGTATGCACCTTTCTAGACCACCTGCCACCCTAATTAACCACTTGGCTTGAAAACAAAATATGCACAAAAAATAGTCTTACTTTAATAGAATTAAGGAACTAGGATGAGGAAATCCGACTATAATCACTTTTGGGAGGGGGCTTAAATATTCTGCATTAAGAATTGTTGCTAATTCTTTGTAGAATTTTACTATAGCCAAAAGGGTTTTGCAAACTTTAGTAGTGCATTTGGACTACAGTAAAGGCTTTTTACTGGAATTCAAAATTACTCCTAAGATCAACAATACCCACCAGTGGTTGTATGGTTCTAATGATTAAAACTTTGGTTATTTTTTTTTTTTTTTAAATAAACTTCACAAACTGGGTTAATTCTAATTGAGTTATTTAATGGTAGAGTTGTCTCTCACTCGCGCGCTCTCTTCTTCTCTCCCCTTCCCCCCCTCTCCCTTTTAGCCCTGCGCTATCTCACCTTTCAAGCCTTCCAGTGGGTCCATAATAGACAAGTTAACTGTTGTTTTTTTTTTTTTTTTTTTATTTAATTCCCCAACCCCCCAAGTTATATTATACAGGATTTATATAGCGCCAACAGTTTACTCAGCGCTTTACAATATAACGGGAAACAATACAGCAGCAATCTACAGTTCAATACAAGAGGGTTAGGAGGGCCCTCAGAATGCCATGTTTAAATACTTCCTCCCATACCAACAATCATTACCCTGCCCTTACTGCACAGCCTTTGCAGAAAAAATGCCACCATCAGCTCATGTAATGTGCACAAATACCGAGGCCCCATTTTATTCTAATGGCAGGGCTGTATTTCAGCTGTTCAGTGGAATACAGTTCACCCATAGGAGTGAATGGGCTGCAGCAGGAGTCAGTGGAGATAGTTTTTAATGGAAAGGCCTTTCAGTGCAGAACTGCTCTGCACAGAGAATATTACTACACTGGGGAGGAAGGGAAGAATTTAACATGACTGTCCTTAGGGAGTTTAATGTGATGGGTAACCTCGCTGATCAATAAGGAGAAAGATTTGGAGGGGCCAGGCAAACCTTGACTTTTTTTTTTTTTTGCATGCAACCTTCCTTAGCTGTCTTGACTTCTGTATCTATGAATTGATTTAATGTGAACTGTTACATAGTTGTAAGTAAACATAATTGTGTTTGCTAAAATGTACTGCTGTATAAAATGTTTCCTCCTCCAAATAACGTTCTTCCTTTCTAATTTCCATAGTGGCAGAACTATGACAGAGCACCATACTGGGATTACTATGGGTACCGTGGATACCGGTGAATGAAGTAGTCACACAGGGGAAGGCAGCTCGGGGTGGGGTGGGGGGCTTGGTTTGTATATTTCTTTTCTACATCCAAAAAAAGAAAAAAAAAAAACAATTTTTGTGGAGGAGAAACTGCAGAGCATGTAAAAGGTCAGAGACTTGATCTCCTTTCAACTTTTTGTGTGTTTGTTGATCTTAGAACCTGCACAGGTTCACAACTCTGTCCAGTCTTGTCCTCCTCTGGCTGAGGTGGACTGTCCATTTTTTTCAAGAGCGTTTTATGGGACAGACACCTGTGTGAATGGGGGCTCCGTCCTGCCCTGCATTCTCCTGCCTAGCTAGGAGTATGATGCAGTGATTTTTACTTCAGTCTCATCATAAGCCTGTAACCTGTTTAATTTTTATGCCAAGAGAAGAAAACATTTTTAAGAAATAAAACTTGTGTGATGTAATTTCTCTCCAGTGTTTGTGTTTAATTAACACATATTGGAGGCAGCTGTTCTGTGGGCATAACCATAACATCAGTAAATGCAGTCTGTTTTTGGACTAGGATTTGTAGACATTACTGTGATCTACAGACATTGGATTAGTCCACATTATGGTTGCCTCCCCTATGTATGAACCATAGGGTTACACTTTAAAGGAGCAACTAAAATTCAGAACACAAATGGGGTCCTCTTTTTGTAAACGTTTTCAGAAGTCCTGAAAAGCAGAAAGTAACCTAAGGATTATTTTTTTTTAATTTGCTTTGCTTATTTTTATTTGGCTATTTAATCTTGACTGTATGTAACTGACTGAGAGTAAGTGTTGCAAATGTAACTGTTTTTTAATATGTGGAGGATTCTCCCATGTCAAAAATGTAAGTGTATAATGCAGACTGGATCAAAAAGGCATACATCGATGAACAGTAAAGCTTACACTTGTTCCATTTTACTGCTGTCATGTTGATGCTGATCATATAGAGCAGATAAACACTTGGGGAGAAAATTCTTATTCTCATTGCCCTATCAGCCAATGAGTCGGTCACCAATAAAACATACAAGAAATATGAGTCTTCTGTTGTGTTCATTATCAAATACTAGGGTAATATCAGTTGAATGCTTTGTGCCATTTCCATGGTATTTTTCACTTTTTTTTTTTTTTTCTGCTTACAATGCACTGACCAATACTTATGAATGATTTTGGAGGATTGTGCTTTTTAAAATCCGTGTCCTGGCAGTGGCTTAGAATGGCATCCAACAAACTAGTATGGGAAGGTGTTGAATGAAACCTGTAGTGCATGAAATTCACAAGCTGCCATTTCAGTGTATCTGAAAAGACTTTTTGTAGCCATTCATGTAAGTCCGCTGGGAGTCGCTAATCTATGGCAAATATGCAGATCTTTTAAGACTTGCACTTTTTTCCCAGTTAGTATTCGTCCCGGATGACCCACATAACTAGCATTCTAAAAGATGGGTTAAAAAGGAAAAACTACATCTGCCAATTCTAACAAATATCAAGTCAGACTTTAATATGTGTAATGCATTTGTGTGAACAAAACATGGACCACTTACCAGTAAATTGTTAATAAATGCTTTCAATATATTTATTGGTGGGTTTTTTTTTTTTGTTTTTTTTTTTTTTTGTCAGGCTTAATGGTGCTGGCATTAAATTTATTTCAAAATCCTCTAACAGTGATGATAAAAAATAAAGGATTGTGGGAATGAAAAGTACAGTAATAGTGGTAGAGTGCATATCAGAAAGATTAGATGTGGATCACACTTATTTTCTAAGTCTGGGTTTGCACTATAGCCTGCTATATGCATTACTGCAATGCATAGTTTGGCACTACGAATTTGCTGGTGCATAGCACCATTGATTTTTGAAAGCGTTTTTATTTATTTTATTTTTTTTTTTCCCCCCGGATGTGGATATGGCTCTTGTGGTGCACCAATGCACTGCATCATATTCAAATGCCTCAATTACTATCCTGTGTCCAAAAATTCTAATTGTCTAAAATATTCCTGCAAGGTGAAAGTGTATTTTATAGTTTCTTTATCTAGTAAAAACACCTAATGCCTGAAAGTGAATTTACTGCATTGTTTCCATACTTCGCAACTCTGTCTCTACCCCCACAGAGGGTTGTTGGCTTACTACTAATAACCCACCCCCTTGATGCCAAGTAGCATATGGAAAGTTTCCACTAGGGTGCCTGGAGTAAGTGTGGCAGGGTGCCCTTGCGGATCCCTGCTCTGCCAGAATAAAGATCTCTTCAGCCCCTGTGATGTCACTGACCAAGAACAGAATGACTTAGCTGCATGGGTATGGAAATTTTAAAAGGGAAGGGGCATGTTGAGAATATAAAATCTAGTTAAGTTGGATAAGAGCTTAAAGTGTTACTAAAACCATGACCCTGCATTCGCTATACCCGGTCTCCCACAGTACACTCTCCATTAGTACATATAAACCGCTAAATACCTTTTCTCATCGGCAGTATATAGCAGTCTTGTGACTAATCAGTGTCCAGCTGAGCACTGGTTTAAAGCTTGTAGGAGAGGAGTTTTCATTCTGCTTTGACTGTCCTATGAGGCTGCATGACCCCTCACCCTCTGGACAGTGCTGATTGACCCTGTGCTGATCATATGCACCCTCCTAAACAAAAAAACTAGCCATACACAGTAAACTGAACATGTGCAGAGTGGCTCCTAGAGTGCTGCATTATCAGATGGATTTGGGGATAGTAAAAGGGGAGGATCAGAGAAGGCAGGATCAAACTGTCTTTTTATACAATGTGGAGGATTAACTGAGGTTTCACAATGAGTATAACAAGCATGCTTTACTGCATCTACAAACTTATTTTACTGTTGTGGGTTTAGAAACACTAACATTTCATCTGATTGTAGCAGATATATACTGTAGGTCAGGGGTTGCCAACCCCCAGCATGTGGCCATATTTTACTGGGACAGTACACATCAACACAGCTAATGCTTGCAGCTGGCTACACAGTAAGGAGCTCTGTTGCCTCGCTCCCATCTCTGTTCTCGGAGACATGTGACCCATCAAGACAGCCTGCTGATGCTTGCGGCTGACTTTACAGGAAGGATCCCTGCTGCCTTCTCTCCCACCTCAGGTCCCGCCTATCTCCATTCCCAGAGACACCTGACCCATCAGCATAGCGAGCTGCTGATGCTTGCGGATGGCTACACAGGAAAGAGTCCCACTGCCTCTCTCCCACCTTTGTTCCTGGAGACACCTGACCCATCAAAACAACCAGCCACCCAATGCCAGATATAAGGCATGCTACACTGCCCCCCCCCCCCCCCCCCCCAATGGATACTGCTCCTGCCATCCTCACACAGGGCACTCGGCAGATCTTGTCCTTGCACATAGCTGATAGATTCTTTTACAGATACAGCCTCCATCTGCATGGTATATAGCTGCCTGTTTTGTTGCTCTGATCTCTAGATGTGAACAGCAGCAAAGCTGCAGAAGCCAGTGACCCTTCTCAGATGGAGGTTGTATCTGCAAACGAATCTGATCTCAGCTATGTGCTGTGTGGGGAGGAGGAGCTCTACTGTGTACTTTGCCTGCACTGATCCCTGTTCTTTGCCCTGCTGTCCTCTAACCCTCTCCTCTGACTTCTCTGTCCTTTGCTCCACTGACCCTTGTTTGCTGACCTCTGCCCCATCCATTGACCCCATTCTCTGCTCCGCTAACCCCATACCTCTGTCTCACTGACCCCAATGTCTGCCTCGCTAACCCCAGATGTCTGCCCCACTGATCGCTGTACACTGTCCTGCTGACCCCAGACTTCTGACCCCTGTACACTGCCCCACTGATCCGATCAGCCCCATTTGCTCCTGTACACTGCCCCACTCACCCCATCCAGTGACCCCTGTACAATGACACCCATAATTTGACCCCATCGTGTACCCAGCTGACCCCGGTACATTTTCCCACTGACACTGTCCTATGCCCTGCTGAACCCAGACCTCTTTCCCACTGACCCCTGTACACTACCCCCTTGTCCCAGTCCTCTGCCCTGATGTCCCCATCCTCCACCCTGCTAAACACTGTCCTATGCTCTGCCGACCCCTGTCCCCTGCACTGTTGAACCATGTTAGCTATCGGGAACTACTAATTTACAAGTGCAGAAATTGGGGCTGATATGAGGAGTGACGATGTAGAAATTGAGGCTGATCTCAGGTGTTCCAGGTGTAGGAATTAGGGTGATCAGAGGTGTGAAGGAACTGGAGTGATTTGAGCTGTCATGGTTCAGGAATTGGGGTGATCTGAGGCATGTTGGTGCAAGACCTGGGGCTGATCTGAGTTGTGAAGGTGCACAAACTGGGGTAGATCTGAGGTGTGAAGGTGTAGGAAAGGGGGTGATCAGAGGTGTAAAGGTGAAGGAATTGGAGTGATCTGAAGTGCCAAGGTACAGGAATTGGGGCTGATCTGAGGTGTAGAAATTGGAGCTGATCTGAGGTGTGAAGGTGCAGGAATTGGGGTTAATCTGAGGTGTGAAAGTGCAGGAATTGGAGCTGATCTGAGGTGTGAAGGTGCAGGAATTCATAAATTATATGAAGAAATATATAGGTATACAGTGGTGCACCTAATGTGTAGCCCAAAAACATGCCATCAAGAATGTGACTAAATATAAGTGATAGGTGATATAAGTGAAACAAATATTAACCAAATATAAATACATGTGATCATAAATCAACAATATTCATAAATCATATAGCCCAAAGTCCCAAACGTATATGTGATGAATCAATCTTCGACCGTGAAAATAAATACGTGCTCAAGTGCATCAGACCATCTGTCACCGTCTAGGGTGCACGCTTACCTCCATTCTTTGACCCTCAAGGAGTCGTAAGGCATAACAAATCACCAGTTAGTCCCAGGTGGGATGAATTTCACTCTCTGGATGGACACAGGGTCAGCTTCCACACAGCCCACGGTTAATCAGCCATTACAATGGTAACGCACCTTTACAAAACTCCTCCACTCTCCCAATGGCTCATAAACAGAATC